AACAGGATCTTCAGAAAATGTCAACTAAAAAATTGTAATTCTATAATAGCCGTAAACAATTAGTTAGAAAAAAATAATGGAAAAAAAAATGCTCAGATACTTATTTTGATTCTGAAGTTTAATTTTGATGTCTGCAAAAATAGAGTTACTGAAAGTTGAATTAAAGAATTCCCTTGTTAATTTTTTTAACGAAGAAACAATGAGATAAAATCCTGAAAATTGAACTATGATTCTTAGGATAAACTTTAAAAAAAATCATTTTTAATTTTTAAGATGTCCTTTTTATTTTTTAACATGGCAACCAACACTGAAAAAATTTTTGAAGAAAGTGTCACATTTCACAATTACAAGAAGCTAATCAGAATAGTTGTACTGTTTAGCAGTTTTTATTTACTAATTTCCAAAATTTTAGTACAGGTACTAATGAATTTATTTTGAACTAATTTTCAAAATATTGTTTGTTTAATTAGTGACTTTAAATAAAAAATCTTACATTATGTAACAGGATCTTCAGAAAATGTCAACTAAAAAATTGTAATTCTATAATAGCCGTAAACAATTAGTTAGAAAAAAATAATGGAAAAAAAAATGCTCAAATACTTATTTTCATTCTGAAGTTTAATTTTGATGTCTGCAAAAATAGAGTTACTGAAAGTTGATTTAAAGATTTCCCTTGTTTAATTTTTTTAACGGATAAAATTTAGAAATCTTAGAAAACTTAACTGGATGGTGTCATGGTCTAAAAAATTGACTAAACTGTGAAAGATAAAGTTTCAATTTGTGAAATAGTTGCCATTTTGCTAGCTACATATTTTTTTTCTTAAAATTAGATAAACTTTAGGTCATTTCTCGTAATTTCATTAACTTGAAAGACACCGCAATAATCCTATCTCTAGGTTAAATTGAGTAATTAAAGAAAGTGAGGTTTGTTAGTCAATTGTCTAATTGAGTGAATATAATCATTAAATTGTTCACGGAACTGAATACTCTCAAAACATATCATTTAACGTAAACTCTTTCATTAATAAAAAGAGTTTTTTTAGGTATAATGTGTGGTAATTTTAATTTAGTGTCATTTTATTTTAAATTGTATAGAATAAAAAAATCAACGCTTACACGATAATGAAATACAATTGTGTTTATTGTTACGAAACACCCGTAATCAAACATTTAACGCAATAACTGGGAAAAAGTTGTGGAAATGGGACTGTTTACAAAATTTACGTGTGCCAAGTGCTAATAAGAAAATTTCCCTTATGACATTACATAAAGAAAAACTACAAAATTTTGTGTTTTTCCTTATCGCAAATAAACTACCGTGGGCAAAGTTGTTAAAAATTTGTGATAAGAGTGTCACCATCCCACTGTTCGTTATTATGACGTAAATTTGTCATAGAAATTGTGATTGTCCATGGGAATTGGGTGAACGCTTTATATCCGACTCACTTTTCAAACTAAAGCACCAAAAAACCGAATCCATTTTCATGCAGTTTTGTTGAAAATAGACAATAGAGAAATCTCGCTTTTGATCGATAAAATCGTTTCAGGGTTGGCATAACCCAAATCTTCCCCTCTTAAATTTTCCATCCAGTTGGTTGTTGCAGATACGGTACCTTGATTGCACTCAAACACGCAACTGTATACTTTAAATCATAATAAAAAGAAAACTTCTATTGTTCAACACACCGAAAATCTTACGAAATGGTCCGACATACTTTACGTTTCAAAAAAATTCACTACAATAGTGCTGTTATAAAATCGTCTTTTCCGGTTCCGGTTAATCTTTGATGTTTTCGTGGTTATGCTTCGGAGATTTGCGTTGGAAATATACTGCTTAATAGATCTGTTAACAAATTTCAAGACTTATATTGCCGAAAAAAATTAATAACTTCAATTCTTAGATCAAAATAGTTTTATAAGATCTTTAATTTTCGTTGTCATTGAAACGTTAAAATCTACAGTACAACCTCGATAACCCGGCTGGAGTGGGTGACAAGTAAAAAATTAATGTTATGAATAAAAAAATTGAAAACATGCTAGTATATTTTTTGCAATCGTCTGTAAAGTAACCCAAAATAGTCCGTCCGTAAAGAAGTGCTTTTCCACACTCATATACCGTGCGATCAAATAAAAAATAAATTAAAGTAGGCGGTGATTAAAGTCCTTCAGATGGCAATCCTGATTTTTGACATCAAATGTCAGCGGAAACTTTGACAAGTTTGCGTTTTTTTCCTTTTGAGTGAAATAATGTTCAGTTTAGAGCAGAAAATTTTTATTGCTGTACAAGGCGAAAATGGTGAATGGTCATTTTCACTTTCAGTTTGTGTGGAAAATTTCCAGCCCAGATTCCCAGCCAGTGTGTTGCCAACTGTAAAATTTAATCGACGCCTACTCTAATTTATTTCTTATTTGATCGCACGGTATTATTAATCAAAACTCGCGCCTCAGAGAAAAAGTTCAACTAAGATAAGATACCAGGAACATGGAAGAAATGTTTAAAAAATTCTGTCAAAAAATTTTGATTTGACATTTTTTATGTTTATTTAATGATGCTGATGATCTTATATATGTTTTTTATAATTATTTAGTAAAGGTACAAAAATTTTGTCAATAAAAGCCACAAATAACATTAAACAGAGTTAGAATTTAGATTTAAACTCTCGATTTAAACTTCAAAATTCTTACATTACATTATGTAACAGGATCTTCAGAAAATGTCAACTAAAAAATTGTAATTCTATAATAGCCGTAAACAATTAGTTCCAAAAAAATAATGAAAAAAAATGCTCAAATACTTATTTTGATTCTAAAGTTTAATTTTGATCTCTGCAAAAATAAAGTTACTGAAAATTGAATTAAAGATTTCCCTTGTTGATTTTTTTAACGAAGAAACAATGAGATATTCTTAGGATTAGCTTTAAAAAAAATATTTTTATGATGTCCTTTTTATTTTTTAATAAAAAACCAACACTAAAAAAATGTTTGGAAGAATTTTTTTTTCATGATTACAAGAAGCTAATCAGAATAGTTGCACTGTTTAGCAGTTTTTATTTTCTAATTTCCATAATTTTAGTCCAGGAGCTAATGAATTTATTTTGAACTAATTTTGCCAGTCAGCAAACACCGATAGGATTGTTAAATTTAGTATTTTAAGTAAAAAATCTTACATTATGTAAAATGATCTTCAAAAAAATGTATTCTGTGATGAAAAATTAACTAAAAAATTGTTATTCTATAATAGCCGTAAAAAAATTAGTTCCAAAAAAATAATGAAAAAAAATTCTTAAAAACTTATTTTGATTTTTGTCAAAAATAAAGTTACTGAAAGTTGATTTAAAGATTTCCCTTGTTTAATTTTTTTAACGGAGAAAATTTAGAAATTTTAGAAAACTTAACTGGATTGTGTCATGGTCTAAAAAAATAGACTAAAAAGCCACAAAAAACATCAAACAGCGTTACAATTTAGATTTAAACTCTCATAACTTCAAAATTTTTATAGATAAAATTTCCTTGCTCCTGGTATCTTACCTTAGATACACCTCAACACTAAAATTATTTTCTACACTCATATTCATAATAAAAAATTCAACTTAAGTGCCTTGTTAACTTGCTATATAAATAACTGTTAATAAACTTTCTTTCTTTAAGAAAGAAAAAAGTTATATAAAAACAAAAATCTTATTTTTTTTTTCGTAAAAATGCCTTAGTGTGAAGCAAAAAGAAAAAAAATTGCTTTTATTTATTTGTAGATTTAGTTAAAATTCCAATTACTTTACGTACATAAAAATCAGTTTATTATAAGAAATAATAGAAAAAAAAACTGAAAAAAAAAGTTTTTCTGACAAACACTGATCTTTGTGTGATCATTAGTTTTTGAATATCTAATGTTAAAATATACATTTAATAATATGTCACAATCTGATTTCATTTTCGTTTGTACAGTCGAGGTTTAACTGTATTTTTTTACACATAAAACTCGAAAATATTTCAAATATGTTTGGTTTTTTATGGATATAATAATAGATTAAATTTTTGATTTAGAGTACAAATAATAGAAACATGATTTCAAAATTAGTGTCAATAATTAGGTTTTGGTCCGATTTAATAAGCTGAATTATAAAAAGTTATTAAAAAATTAGACAACATAAAAGAAAGTGAGGACATTTTCAGTGAAATCGGAAATTCAATAAACAATTAAAGTTTAGTGCAACAATTTAACCTAACAAGCTTAATTATCTGAGAAACTCGAGTGCATAATTATTTTCATTCATAGGGGAACTTATTTCACATCCATACAGAGTGAATCGAGGAGGACGAGGAAAAAATATAGATTTGACATTTTCATCTGTATTAGTCATACAAATAAAATAAAATTTATTGTTGCGATTAATAGTTTAATGCTAAGATTATAGTCATTTAAGTTTTTATAACTTTCAAGGCCACCATTATTTCATCCGTTTTTTGTTTTGTAAGTAAGTGATTTATCCTGTATCATATTTTGTAATATTTCCCTTCTTCATTCAACTTTTCTAAGGTCAACAAAGACTCAGTGCCACTGAATTTTGTATACATTTTGCAACACGACACTAAAGGTTACAATTTCAAATTAGTTGCAACACAGTCTTGGCTTAGCATAATGAAATTGCTTGTAACAACACGAAAAACGCAATTTTTTTTGAAAAAACAACTTTCACCTCAAACAATACACAGGGATGTATTCAGATATTTACAAAAAGCAAGTCAAACAAGAAATTACGTCAGACTAAAAGTATCACGGTACACATGATAAACGATGCTGAAAAACAAAGAAAATTCGATTCAACGACCCAGCAGTACTACTAAAGCAGTCTTGGGTATCTGAACTGACATGATAATATTTATAATGGATGTCATTTGCATTGTAAGCAGACATAAGTTTCTCTTTACTATTTAAAAAAACACTGTTCACAAAACACGTAGCTGCTTATCATACAAACAATCTAAAGCCTGATTCACACTCACACAAGGCCGACTCAGCATCAAAAAGAGGATATCCCATTTTTTAATGTAACCTCAATCCACCACTTTAATCGATTTTCTCGCATGATAATTTAATATTAGTTAAACTGAAGGTCGTTATTCTTTAAACAATACACATTTTTGTGCGTTAATTTAATTAATTGGCTTGGGCTTTCGCTGAAATTGGATTATAGTTTTATGGCTACGAGGACATGAGCGTAATTAGGAATTGATAGGGAAACAATGGCGGAAACTTTTAATAATCATTTCTTACTTTCTATAAATCGAGACCAATTTATAAATTGTTAGTGAAATAAGGAAAATACGAAATAAAAGTGTTGCAGATGACGCTCTTTCAGAACATTTTTGAAATGTGAAATTTGATGATCTTTTATATTCAGCAACTTGCGTCATTGATAAAAGTTATGCATCGATTGTATAAAACAATATTTGCACGTGTGGACGTGCCATAAAATTGTTAGACGTGGGCAAATTGTAAATTTTCACAATTCTAAAAAAAAATCAATAAAAGAAAAAATTTAAAAAATAATTAGGTTGAGATTATGTAAAAAACAACAATAAAACCAAATGACGATTTTTTTAGTGCTAACAAGCTTAATTATCTGAAAAACTCGAGTTTCCGATTTTTTCTTCATTATTTTTGAAATAATTAATAATAAACGGCTTAATTTTGTATTTCAACATTTGAAAAAATAAGGAAGGTAAATCTGAAACAGCTCCTTCTGTTTTCGAGTAAAAACTTTGTAATTGTGATATTTAGAGTAAAATACTCGTACACAGGGTGCGCCAGAACTCGCGCCCCAGAGAAAAATGGTAAGGTAAGATACCTAGAACATGGAAAAAATGTAAAAGAAATTATCTATAAAAATTTTGAAGTTATGAGAGTTTAAATTTTGCACTTTGACTCTTTCTGTTGGAAAAATATTTTTTTAGTTTTTTTTGTTAAGGCTATTAGAAGAGGAAACAAGAAAGATGTATCTTAAATTTTAACTCTATTCAATGTTATTTGTGGCTTTTATTGGCAAAATTTTTGTCCCTTTACTAAATAATTATAAATGTCAAAAAATAAATGTCAAAATTTTTTGTCAGATAGAATTTTTTAAACATTTTTTCCATATTTCTGGTATCTTATCTTACTTGAAATTTTTCTCTGGGGCGTGAGTTCTGGTGCATCCTGTATAGTTTAAAAACATAAACATCTGAAAAACTCGAGAGTTTGGGAATAGACATTTAAAAAAAAACAAAAAGAAAATTAAACTACGATCATGTGAAAATTGAGCAATTTGAATCACTTCTAGTACTAAAATGGTAAAAACTAAAATGTTTTTCTTAATAATTTGATATTTTTCAATAAAAAAGCTCTCATGCTTTTATGCTTTGCTCTTATGCTTATGCTCTCTTATGCTTATGTTCTACTATGCTTATGCTCTCTTATTTGCTCTTATGCTCTCTTATTTTACTTATTAGGTACTTATGACTGACTTAGACCTTATGTCACTACGCCACCACGCTCCCGACATGTATTTTTGCACTGGTTTAAATTTTTAATTTTGGTGTTTCTATGTTAAACCATAAACAATAAATTTGAAGTAAAGGTTAAACAAAAAAGCGTTGACTTTAGTTATTTTACATTTACAGTTTAAAAGTTCATGTTTCTTATTATTATAGTATTTTCTTTTGTAACACACATTTTTACAGTAAAACCCCGATTATTCGGCCTAATGTGTTCCGGACCCTTTTCGGATAAGCCAAAATTCCGAATAATCAAAAAATTTTAATGTAAAGTTCTATTAAAGAAAACAATTTTTATATTAACATTAATTTATTAAATGACATACATGCGACGATGTATTTAAAGGATTCACCTTGTACATCCGAATGATGGCTTTTTTTCAATTTTTTTCTAATTTTTTTCTCGATTTCAATTATATGTCTTCTACATGCACTGACAGACTACTCGTAATAACACTCCAAGAACGAAGAAAAAAATATTTTTTTCTGAAAATCTAAACAAAAAAGTAAGACCAATTACGGATTAAACAAAGTCTAGAACCAAATTCTTCCGGATAACACGTAATTTTTAAAGTCGATGTTGTTTCCGGATAGTACGGACTTCCGGATAACCGAGAGCCGGATAATCTAGGTTCCATTGTATTTAATTACAGTAATAGTTAGTTTTTCTAAAATATTTGTAAACTTTGACAAGACAAAAATTACAAAATAATAATTATTATTTAAAAAAATATTTTCCACATTACAAATTGTTATAAAAAAAATAATTCTAAGTCGGTATAATCGCACCCAACGTGCCTGTAATTGCCTAAAGGGGATTCACTTTCCTCTCTAGTCAGGTTCGTATACCTGTTCAACCATTCTATTCAAAAATGTATGCAAATCAGTCCTTACGAACATATTTCAAAGCTTGTCTAAACACCAACAGAAACCACAAATTACCTGTGTTTCAATACCATGAAAGTAAATAATACAAGATCCTCGACTGAGTCATTTTTTACATAATTATTCAACTTTCAACTTATTAGGGAATGCTGAATCACATTTTTATTTTAGACATGATAATCCGGATGTTTATCACTGCAATTATTGATTTTATGAGTAAGAAATAGATATAGATGAAAATTTATTGATCCACTTTGCGCGCTAGACCATATGTTACTTCCTCCGTAATAATTAAATAATGTTACAAAATTTCCTACTTCATTAAGAACAATTAGAATTTGGCCCCATTTTTCATAAAAATATCTCCCAATTGTTTATGTAATAACAGTTCCGCAATAGTTGATTTAATCTAGCACCAAGAAAATTAATCGTCCGTAACTTAATAATTTGTCACCTTTCACTGCTTATAAATCAACGTACCTCCAATTTTTTTGAATAATCCTCAATGACGGCGTCATGTTGTTTTTTCAGTTCTTCGTTCTTCTCTAAAAGGGCTTTTCCAAGTTCAGCTGCTAATAAAAGATCGTTTTCTTTTTGTTGTAATTGAGTCCAGACGTCTTCTGATGGGGTTTGAGTTTGAGTGTGATCCATGGCACTACGATTTTCCATTTCTACTATGTAATCTTCTAGGGATTTCAGCATAGCTGAAATTACAAGTTTCGAAGCCGGTCGATCATCCTGGGACGATAGGGATAAGGCACCATTTTGATACTCATTTTTTATCAACACGAAAACATCTGAAAAAAACGGTAGTTTGATAATATTGCTTGTTATGTAATTGTTGCACCAAATGAATTTGAGACAAATACTAATTAAAATTCATTATTAAATTTTAATGCAAAGTAGTTAAGGAGGAAGTTTGCTTTTACCGGCATATTTATAATATTTAATTTATTTTCGTAATATGTATTTAGAAAATGTAATTAAAAAAAATTGTAGTTTTTGGTTCAATAAAAAAATGTCACTATCAATGTGATTCATTTAATAATTTAATAAAGAAGCAAATATAAATCAGAAAGTATTTATTAAGTAGATGAGACAGTCGTGTGTACATTTCCGGCCATACTTGTTTGCTAACTGTAACTTTTGACATGTTTCCTTGGTCCATCTTTTACAGTAACAGTAAATAAATTGAAATAAAATAAAATAAATATGTGAAGTATACCAAGTGAACAGAAAGTATGGAAACCAAACGTTTTCTGTTTAAACTATTTATTTTTTGAAAAAATTTATTGAAGAATGATAAAATACCATCAAAATGTGACGTTTCTCAGAAATAAACATTTTCTATTTTAGTTTATGTTTTTGATTTCTGCAAAATTTTTAATTTTTCCAATACCAACCCACTGTAAAATCTTTTTTTTACAAAAATTAATCCAACGATTTAATCTATCTATATTTTATTCAATTTTTATCGAAACAAATTTTCATTTTGAAAAAAAATATAAAATTTCATTCACAAAAGACGATCACATTTTTTTCTGAAAACAAAGTTCATCCCTGTATACATTATTAAATTGTTTTTTTACGAAGGAGAATTTTTATCTAATTTAAACTAATCAAATCACATTTGGTTTGATATAATTACCAATTAGTAACTAGAAAATTTCTTAACAAAATCATAAGCGAAAACAACAAAAATTTCGATTTTGTAGTGTGTCAAATATGTTTGAGCTAGCTACTATCATAAAAAAATAGTTTATATTTACAGTAACAGTAAATAAATTAAAATAAAATAAAATAAATATGTGCAAGTATACCAAGTGAACAGAAAGTATGGAAACCAAACGTTTTCTGTTTAAACTATTTATTTTTTGAAAAAACTTATCGATGAATGATAAAATACTATCAAAATGTGACGTGATAAACATTTTCAATTTTAGTTTATGTTTTTGATTTCTGCATTTTTTTTTATTTTTCCAACACCAACCCAAGTTGATCCAACGATTTAATCTGCCTATATTTTATTCAATTTTTATCTATACAAATTTTCATTTTGAAAAAAAATTAAAGAATTTGATTCTCAAAAAACAATCACATTTTTTTCTGAAAACAAAGCTCATCCTTGTATACATTATTGAATTGTTTTTTTTTACGAAGAAGGATTATTATCTAATTTAAACTAATCAAATCAAATATGATATTTATTACCAACTAGAAATTTCGATTTTGTAGTGTCAAATATGTTTGAGCCAGCTACTATAATAAAAAAATAGTTTTTATATTTTTTAATTAAAAAAAAAAACAAAATCCTGTTTCGTGGAATTAAGAAAATGAGTAATTATACAAGGCGACTATAAATGATTGTAATTTTTGTCGTTATGTTGGCAACGAATTTGAAATATTAATTTGGCAAACTGAAACGTTATACACAATACTCCAGACTAAAAGGATTTACTGGTAATCAGTGTTGCTAATAGATATTTTTCTGACAATCATTTACAGTTACCAGGTATTTATTCATATGGAATACAAAGAAATGTGCTAAAATCACACTTATCGACATACAACGTGTTTTTTTTACACAATTAACAATTACATGAACGTTTAAACGTTTCTTGTATAAAAAGAAATTTTCAATTACTTCTCTTAACTTTCTTTATTTTACAATAACTTAAAATTCTACCTTCAGAACATTCTTTCCTCGTGTTTAAAAAAAAGCTTAAAGATTTTTGGTTTTTCTGGGATGTCAAAAATCAAAGCTTAAAAAATGTACCTATTTCATTTACGTATGAACAGTGTTGCCGATTTTTTTATTGTTTCATATTTATATGCATTTTCTATTATTTTGTGTTTATTTTACCGTCTATCATGGGGTGGCATGTAAATTTGAAATTAAGTTGTCAATACTGAAAATTTTGTATCTGTTTTATTCAGTGTTGCAAACTTAACATATTATAACCACAAGCTACCCTGATCAGAATTTAATAATTTATTTAGGAGAAAATACAAATTATATCTTAGTTTGGTTAAGTTTATTGAAAAAAAAAAACACTAAAAATGTGTTTCCGCAATCTTTGTTTCTTATAATAACAGAGAAAAGCTGAAATAAAAAAAAAAACATCATTAGTGCTTTATATACGCTGTGGAGATTTTAATTAACAATGAAATTAGCGAAACGACTTGTCGGTAATAACAAAGAATGCCGCCACTTCGAAACAAAACCACCCATTACAACACTCGATTTTGACAAGCCGTTGCAGTGTTTAAATGTCAGTAACCATGGTGACTGGTTTGTTTGCCCTTCGTTTAGCGAAATTCCTCACACTTATCATTATTTCATTTACAATATTTGCGTTTTTCTCCGTTACAAAAATTCAAAGACACGAATCAAGTGACCTGGTGCATGCCATGCCGTCTTGAAACATTTAAATGACGAAATTCCGAGAAGGCCTTGAAATGTCAAAATGCCGTTATCTTGAAACCCACCTTAAAAAATCCAAAAATTTCCAAAACTCTGATAACTTCCGACACACAACCGCACAATTTTTATCACAACACCAAACAACAAACGCAAAAATAAAACAAATGAAAGTAGTAACACGTACACCACCTGTCACACTGCGGGCGAGGAACGAACTGAGCGGTTTTGTTTTCAAAGGCACCGCGATTCTCACCTGAGACATGCGCAGTAACGTCCCATCCACGGTTTACGGTAAAAATATTGATTGTGACGTCATATGACGTCATAAATTTACAATTATTGATAAATCAGTGATGGTGATAAGAACCGAAATGGATAAATCGAGGAATGCCATGCCTGCTGACCAACTGGACATGGAAATGATGGCCGAAGCGGAGTTGGCCAGACTGCAAAGGCAGGTGAGTAATAAATGTAAAAAAAAAACAAAAATGGCAACATCGCCAATGGCAAATAAAATCACCATGTTTAAAAAAACCATGTCTTGTAATTTGAAATAGGGTGTACATACAGAATGTCTCAGATTGGAGTTTCTAAGTATATCCCTTTTTGGGCAAAAACATACAAAAATTTTGCCAACAGATAAAGTTTATAATTTTTTTTAAAATAACTTGTAACATTTTCAATAAATATTTTTGTACATTTATAAAATGCATAAACATATCTTTGTAAAACAATAAGTAAAAAACCGTTTTTAATTAAAAAAAAATTATTAATATGGTAATCTCAAAAGTTTAGACAATTAATTAAAATAAAAAATCTTTTGTCATCGCTCCTTTACAACCGTTAAACATTTATTAATTTATTTCAAAAAAAATAGTAGTTTACTTGAAAAAAATTCTTTAATTTTTGTAAGTCGAAACAATTTTTTAAGAAAAAAGTGAGGTTTACAAAAAAAAATTGCACAGCAACAATTCTTGTAACAAGATTGTTGTCTAACAAAAAAAATTGTAGTAGGTTTCCATAAACAAAAAAAAATGGGACTATATTTATCTCGTAAGTATAAACAATTAATTAATATTCAATTTTTTTTAATAGCATTTTTATAGCCATTGCACACTTATAATTTTATTTGCCAAAGAAATTGATTGTTTCGCTAGAATAAAATCGTTTCCAGACTTTTGGACTAGCCTGTATATTCAATATCAAATAATATTTTTTAGCCTTTTCCTGAAAAATATAACTTTTAGAATAAAAAAATATTTAATTGGAGAGTTTTGTGTTTTGTTTACTTAAAAAAATTCTATAATTTTTGTATGTCGAAACATTTTTTTAACAAAAAATTGTGAGGTTTACAAAAAAAAAATTGCACTGCAACAATTCTTGTAACACAAGCTTGTTGTCTAATAAAAAAAATTGTGGTAGGTTTCCATTTAAAAAAAAATTGGTACTATGTTTATCTCGTAAGTATAAACAATTACTTAATTAATATTCAAAATTTTTTTAATAGCATGTTTATAGCCATTGCACACCTATAATTTTATTTGCCAAAGGAAATGATTGTTTCGCTAGAATAAAATCGTTTCCAGACTTTTGGACTACCCTGTATATTCAACCTCAAGTAATAATATTTTTTAGCTTTTTCCTGAAAAATATAACTTTTAGAATAAAAAATATTTAATTGGAGAGTTTTGTGTTTTGTTTACTTAAAAAAAATTCTTTAATTTTTGTAAGTCGAAACATTTTTTTAACAAAAATTTGTGAGGTTTACAAAAAAAAATTGAACTGCAACATTCTTGTAACACAAGTTTGTTGTCTAATAAAAAAAATTGTGGTAGGTTTCCATTTAAAAAAAAGCATAAACAATTAATTAATATTCAAAAAAATTTTAATAGCATTTTTATAGCCATTGCACACCTATAAATTTATTTGTCAAAGAAATTGATTGTTTTGCTAGAATAAAATCGTTTTCACAGTTTTGGACCAACCTCAAGTAATAATATTTTTCAGCTTTTTCCTGAAAAATATAACTTTTAGAATAAAAAATTATTAATTGGAGGGTTTTGTGACAAAAAATATTCATTTAGTCAAGAATGAGTTTTTAAGTAATTTTTTTAGGTTTTTGCATTTCAAAAAATTGGTTTTTCTTTAGTACCGCATAATGGAAGGCGACCGCAAGGCGTTCCTCGACGAAATAAGCAACAAACTGAAGAAACAGCGAAAAATCATAACTCGCTTGCGCCAGGAAAGAGACGACTTAATGGCCGACATTAAAGTCGCAACTTGCGACGGCCAAAAACGAAAAGACTCAAAAATATCTGCAAAGCTTGAACTTCTCCTTCAAAAACACTCAGAAATAGTCACTCAAGTTCAGAAAGAAAAACTCCGACTCGAAGAACTTGAGCAACAAATAAGAAAAACGGAAAAACAAGTACGAAAAATGCGACTTAAAGATATTCCTGAAGGCGAATACCAGGAGCGAATCAAATCGGGTCAAAAGTCGGTCAAAATGTTGGAAAATAAGCTCGAAACCACACATAAAAGATTTTGCAGCGTGTTGACAGAAAACAAGCAGATGAGGGACGAAATTGATCATTTGTTGAAAGAGAGAACTCGGTTTAATGCAATTTGGGAAAAACTTGTTTTTGATTTGAATATGGGAAAGAAATATATGTTGGATTTGATAGAGCAAGCCACTTTGGCTTATGACCAAAGAGAGGAATGGTGTTCAAAATTACAAGCCTTGAAGATTCGAGCTCACAATGATGTCATAACTCACACTCAGGTATTTTCCCATTGTGCAAAAAAAAACTTGACAAAATTTTATAGGAAATGAGAGAAATGCAACGACAGCTAGACCATGATGGAAACTTAAGAGAATTCCTGACAATCAAAGGCCAAAGACGTGTAATGAAAGACTTGGAGGAGAAAGAAATGAAGAAAAAAGAACAGGAAAAGGAGAATTTGGAAAAACAAGTTAAAATATACCAAGAGACACTTGATAAAATCAAAACATTTTGCGAAGAAGAAGACGTTGAGAGAATCGCAGCCAAGTATTTAAAACAAGAAGAGGAGAATTTCGCTCTATTCAACTACGTAAACGAGTTGAATCACGAATTGGAAACTTTGAGTGACTCCATTGAAGAACTTGAAGAAAAAATTAATGAACAAAAGAAGATTTGTGAACAGAAAGCCCAAAAAGAGAAGGATTCTTTAGACAGTTTAAACAAAGCATTGGAAGAAGCCACGCGACAAGCAAACCAAGATGAAGAAATGTTGAAACAAACTGAAGATGACTTGAAATTGATACTAAAAGGAATTAAAGATATATTTGAGTTGGTGGGGTGTGACTGCGCACCGATTCTTGATCTTTTAGGTAAAACAGGAATCTGTAGCATAATTAAATATTTTCAATAATAAAAAATCCCCAACACCGCACTAATGACAAGTGAAATTCTAAAATAGTACTTTTAGGTGAAAATCCCGATGTTAATGAAGACAACGCTTTGATTTATTTGGGCCTAATTGAGAAAAAAGTATCAAGTCTGATAACCACAGTCTACTTTAAGGAAAAATCTGTAATTATATTATTTCGTGTACTTATTTTAAATTGTGATGTGTAATTTTAGCTCATGAAGAAGAAAGCTCGCATTTAAAGGTGGAATTTAATAATAATAATGATAATAATATGTTTTTTTTTTCTTTACTTTTAGTTATTAAGAAACTTCCGAATTTATTTTTATTCAAATTTTATATTGTTATAATAATTATTTTTATTTTTGTTTTTTTGTTGTATCAATTTTCTTTTGAGATTAAGTTGAATAGCTATAAGCTAAACTTTGCCTCCGCATCTTTGTATTACTTTTAATTTATTAATAAAGACCTTTATTATTATTATTGACTAAAGTCCCTACATTAGTTAAATCTAGGGAATTTAGGATTGTCAATATTTGAAGCAATCTATCCGAATCCATACAAACTATCAAATTACAGTTTTCTATTAATGGAGATAAAAACAAAACTTAATTTTATCAGAATTTATTCCACTGAGGTCCTAATCCATGCGCCATAATTCTATGATTGTCCAATTCGCACTTTTTCCAAAACTTTTCATTACACACATTACAAAGAATCCCTTGTTTCTGACACTCTTTCGCATGCATTTCAAGGAAGCGTTTTTGGCCAAAAAACTTGCCACAACTGGGGCATTTGAGCCCCACATGTGTACACGCCACATGTTTCTTCAAAGTATGCTTCTTCAAAAAAACCTTATCACACATATCACAAGAGAACTGTTTCTGAGACTCATGACTCTTCAAATGGCTTTCTAAAAATTTCCGGTCTCTGATTCTCTTACCACAGAAATGACACTGAAAATATTTTCGAGTGAAATGTTCCAGTCTTTTATGAACAAACAATTGATGCTTTATTTTGAAAATCTCGTTGCAAATATCACATTTGTACGTCCTGATGTGTTTGCGATACTTATGTCTGTGTAAATCTTGCATTGAGGAGCAAATACTGCCACAAATCTCACACATTGGTTTTGTGGGTTTGTACTGGGGACTCATGTGGCGTCTTTTGTGGTTTTGAAAGGCCTCTTTCTCGGTATAAAGGCGGCCACAGACGTCACAAAGATGGGGGCCTTTGCCTAAGCGATGGATTTGTTTCTGGAGCTGTTTGAAGTAGTTTTCGTTGTAGGAATCATCAGGGGCGATTTCCCTAACTTTACGGGCGTAGTTGTGGTCGTTATATTCAAATTTCGTTCTTTTTTCTTCAAAAATTACGAAATCTTCACCGTTGATTGCAAAAGGGACCAATTCTCGCAGTTTGTCTTCAGTGGACTGCCATGTTTTCTTCAATTCGTAACTTATAGCCAAATGTTCTTTACATTTTACACAAATGACCATATTCAGAAACAATCCGTGGTCCAAATCGGGCAAAACTTCCACAATCATGTTTAAAATAGTCTTAACTTCTTTGTCATCTCCGTATAGTTTAACCACATCCTCCTCGTTGTGTGACTTAAAACAAATGCGGCAAATCTCCTTAAACTCCTTGAGTTTCTTATTAAAACTTTTTAATGATTTAAATTTCCAATAATGTTCTTGGTTTTGTTCCTCCTCTGGGTTCATTTCAGCGCCTTGGTTGAACCCTGGTAGAAACAAAGTCGGTAAACTCCCTTTTTTCAAGCGAGTTTTGTCCTTATGTCGACTTTGGTTAGTGAAATGCAAGTCACAAACTCGGTATTTGCTGTAAATTCGAATCTCGGGAAGTGACTGCATCCACGGAACGTTAATCCGTTGAACCCACTCCTTAAACGTCTGGAAAAAATCGTTGTTTGGCAAATTTGCAACTTGGGGGGCTCACCGAAGACTCCATGTCAGGGATTGGAAACCTGTAGAGGATTCTCCCGGGGCCGGGACACGTAGGTACACAACATTCCATATTGGACGTCATTTTGACAAGCTAACCTAGAAATTTCTAACAACCGGTGGGACACCAATTTTTCGAGAATTTTACGTGTGGGTGACTTTTTGATCGGTTTTTGGACCAAAATTCTACGAATTAGTGCGAAATAACACGAAATTGTCAAAAATTGAGACGTTTGGACGCCATCTTTGATTAAGTGTCTAAGTAAAAATCCGTTCATCGGGTACTAACACTTGAATAAAAAATTGACATATTTTAGGGAAAATTTATTGGAGGGTGATAAAATCAAAAAAAATATTTTAAATATTTGCTTTGATTTTCACTATTATCTGTCGGGTGTAATAAGTCGACAGTTGGATGACAAAAATTAAACTCCAACCAAGAAAAATTCCAAAAATGCCGCCAAAATTGCCTGAAATAAGCAATTAAAACGTTTCAGACCAATAAAACTTGTTATTACTCAAAATTTCGAACCAATAATAGACAACATCTTGAAGATACAACTCTGAGAATCTCTTCGAATAATAAACAAAGATTCGAGTAACGTTATTATCGTTCGTTTGACTAAAATTTACAAATAAAAAAATAAGAAAACATTTTTATCAATTTTCAAACTTCAAAATAGGAAAGGAATTTACATGAGTTCTGTAAAACGTTTCATCACAAGACGAGTAACATTTACTTTCGCAACGTAACCCATTTTGACGTTCTTTTAGCAAAAAGGGGCCAGGTTCAAGATCATAAGGGTACAATGAAGACCACTTTTCTAAAAAAAAAAACATATAAAAAAACTAATAGGTACACAAGTTTCTACCTTTATATCTATTGAGACAAGCAACGTCGGCCAAAGTACACATAGTACTACCGTTACTAAGTGGTATAAGAAATGGTACACATTGACACATGGCATATATACTCAACATACGACACTCTATATTACAATCGCTTTGCGTATAAGTAGTTCCAAAACTGGTACGACTTTCGTGGTCAAAAATACATTTGCGCTAAAATATACAGAGTTGCCACTTAATGTCAGATGAGAAATTAGTACCTTTTCGAGTGAATAGTCGCCGATGTCTCTCACTGAAATCAAAGTGGTTGGATAAATTTCAATAAAATTTTCCGAATTCGGATGAGTGAGAATTTCGGTTAAATCGCCACTTAATTTATCCGGATAATCGGTCGGATTGAATATATGTATCTGAAATAACCACAAACAATGTCCCAAATAATTAATTTGAATAATTATAATTAACAATAACTCCGACAGCTGATATAGTTGAGTAAAAATAATCTCGGAGATTGTTATTAACCGCGAAAAAAAGTCCATTTTCGACGCCAGCATCAGTAGTGACCGGTTTTTGGTCAATTTCAAAGTTTTCATTGTACCTGGAGGAAAATTAATTAAACTGAATCGAGGGGACGTTCACTCTGGAATTAGTTGTACAAATTTTTGGAATTTAATCGGAAAGTGCTTGGAATTATGTGGAATTATTGAAATTATCTTGGATTGTTTGGAATTACTGGAAGTACTTGTGAATTACTGGAATTATATGTGAATTATTGGAATTTTTCTGGAATTGCTGGAATTCTTTTTGGAATTACTGGAATTCTTTTGGGAATTACTGATTTTTTTTTGGAATTACTGGAATTTTGGTGGAATTTTTTGGAGTTTCGGTGGAATTTTTAATTTTTTGATTAAGTTGGAATTACAGGAATTAAGTTGGAACTACATGAATTAAGTTGGAACCACAGGAATTAATTTAGAATTACAGGAATTAATTTGGAATTATAGGAATTAATCTGAGAAAAAATGGAATTACGATGGATTATCGTAATTACTGGAATTTTTTTGAAATCACTGGAATTTTGGTGGAATTTTTTGGAGTTTCGG